CGGCACCACTGTCGACTGGCGCTCCTCCGTAACCGACGAGCTCACCAACCGGGCCGCCTCCAAAAGCGAAAAACACCCCGACAAAGACCGCATCGCTAAGCTCCGCCGCCTGTCCCGCGATGACTGGGGCCGTTTCGCGCAGCAGTGGCGTACCACCTACAGCACCTTCGTGCGAGAGTTCATCCCGGGCGAGACACCGTGGAAGGACGTCGACACGCACCACTATGACGCCCTGGTCGATCTGCTGGCTGAGTGGCAGCTCGAGGGCATTTACTCGGACGAGGAGGTGAGAGAGTTGAGCCTGGTCTGGCACCGGCTACGGCCGTGGGACGAGGCAGCCAGGGGCTTGCGGCTGCTGGGCGGGCATTATGTCACGTCAATGCTGTCCAACGGGAACGCCTCTCTGCTGCGGGACCTGGACGACTTCGGGAGTCTTAATTTTCAGCGGCGGCTGTCGGGAGAGGACTTCAAGGCCTATAAGCCCAATCCCAAGGTGTACCTCGGAGCCGCCCAGAGCCTTGAGATGACGGAGCCAGGGCATGTTGCCATGGTCGCCGCTCATCTCGACGATCTGGAAGGGGCCCGAAAGTGTGGGCTGAGGACCATTTACGTTGAGAGGCCGGGCGAAGAGGCTTGGAAGGATGATGAAGATAGATATCGAAATGCCAAGGACTGGGTCGATATCTGGATTGGGGAGAAAGATGGTGGCTTTGTTGAGCTTGCGAGGAGACTGGGTGTCGAGCAGTAACACTACTCAGCTGACAGGCCAATGATGTGTCAATGACAATGTTCAAATTCAACGCTGAGGTGTACGAGCACGCTTTCAAATAGATAGAGACATTTTGTCGCAATTTTCCGCCTTACGAAGTACCGATTGGAAACACTTAGTCAGAAGAAGACAGAACTTGCCCCTTACGCTGTGGAATGCTTGGCGAAGGGATGGACGGCAATTGCGAACTATCTTGTGTGGTTGAGAAGTCATGATACACGTCGGAGGAAACACCATACAATACCACCTTGGCATTGCTTCATTGAATACTTGTGCTGCAATTGACTCTGTGCTGCAGCAGTAGTGATGGCCGAAAAGGTATTGCCTTACGGTCTGCTTTAAAAGTACGCCAAGTCAAGACGGTCATTCGAAGGAATATCCTGGTGTAGTCAGCCAAGGGTGGCATGTTCCAGCCTGGAATGGGTCTAACAACACACCTAGGTCATGATGGCAGGCAAGAGCCGAGGCATTGGAGTCGGCCATGACAACTGCAGAGGGCCTGCCGACTTGATATCCGTTGTCTTCCGGAAACGATTATATTGGACCGATGAGCTTAGGAGAGACATGGGTATGAGACATTTCACATGAGATTGGAAAAGACAGCTGACACCAAGCAAGGGTCGCCGCTTTAGATGTTTAAAAGTAGCAGGGAAAAAACGTGCCTGGTTAACGAGATAGCATGTATATGTACTTCAGGGTGAGCCTACGACTGGAGAGACACGCCAACCAAGGAACAAGTTCAACGGCGTGGCGGCCTGGGCAAGGCATGCGCGTTAAGCTGAAAAAGTGACACTGTCTCGAACTTACAGTCGGCATATTATTGGAATGTCGAATCAAGGCGGGCCAGAGCAAGCGAAATATGGACCAACTGGCACCACCGAGTAGCACTCCGGCAAGGCAACAATGGGCTTGCGCACAGCTACGTGTGGCATCAATAATGAGAAGAAGAAGTATCCGTTATGACCCGTGACCTCCAGAGAGCCTGCAAAGTCAGCAGCAGATCGAACGAATCCGATAAGGCATGAGAAACTGTTGCCAACCTCAAAATGGGAACCGTACCTCCGATAGTCCCGTGCGGTTTGTGTAGACAAAGAATACAAGGCGGGGCACGATCCATTTGGTTGCTGGGCAGTCAACGGTCAGGTATGCGTGAGGAACGGGTGGCAAAATCAACCGCATTGTCTCGGAAAGTGTCCCTTGAACACCGTTGCCCCTCCATAGGCATGTGGTTGGCCATGCCCCGCGTCAACCCAGGGTGGGCGGCGTCTGGGGTAAAGTCTGACGAGCCAGGCAGACTGGGGTACTGAGCCGTTCGCAGATCGTCCGGTACCTTAAAGGCCAGTGTTGTAGATGTACCAGTAGCTCTTTGGGCGAGCAGTGCCGACAAGGTGACGTTGGAAAAAAACGGACTGACCATGTCCGAGTACTGAGTGATGCCAGAATCTCGACTGGTGGAGTGGAAGCGACACAATGACGCCAATTGGGCTGTTGGGCAGCATGTGACTTTTGCGTGTGATTTTTGCGTGTGGTCAATTTGGTCAGAGAAAGCCGGTTGATGCTCCCAGGCTCAGGTCAAGTCCAGTCCATTGACAGGCGACCCTGGCAGACTCAAAGCTTGAGGGAGATGGCAGAAAAAGGGGACTTTCTGAGTGTCTGGTTGATTCGCTTGCACACCCTCTTTTCGCGCAAGCGCCAGACGTGCGTCGTAATGTCATATGCACGGGCGGGCTCCATGCTCAGCACAGCACATGCAAAAGCACGTCGTGGAAGCATGTGTGTGTGTCCTCCCACTTCCTACTCAAGGGAGGGGAAGGACCAATTGAGCGGGAGGAGGAAGAGTCGAGGGCGACTCATAGGTCGTGAGAAGTGGCAGGTTGCAGGTCGTACACCAGGTCCGAAGTCGTGGTCCAGCGACGAGGTCAAGTTATGTGGCTCTAGAAGAATGCACAGATTGCTGCGTCAGCCGTGTGATGCTCGTGGTTTGTTAATAGACCAGTGTCGTTGTGGCCGCATTCGTGCTTTTCAAGTTGACGTGAGGCGGCCATTGATGCCAAGAGCTTATTAGCGAGGATAGCTGTAGGGGTGGTGCTTGTCGAGGGCGAGAGGCGTGTACAGTGGGCGACAAGTCTGTGGGGAGAGGGGGAGGAGGAGGGGGAGGGGGCCGAGGGATCTGCCATGAGGGGAGCCCTAAGAGATGCGGATAGTCTGTCGATGCGCGGCGGTTGCTTGCCTGGCCGACCGTGTCGCGTGCATGGCATAGCATGGCATGACATCGCATGGAATTGTATCGCATGGAAACGAGAAGGATGAGTAGGGATGGTGGAGGTAGGATTGAGAGATGGGATGGATGGTGGACGTATATTCATCCGGACTGCCTCCTTACCGCGCCAGCCTGTTCCTTGAACATCTCCCAACCCTCGCAAGCGCAATGGAGTTTTGCTTGTTGTTGGACCAGAGACCGTTCGGCGAACGACTCAAGTGACTTCTGGGGGAAAGGGTGATTCATGCAAGCAGAACGCAGTTGCCACTTCTGGAGAGGACAAGAAGGCGCAGCCGACACACTTTTTGTGCTGTCGTTGGTGGTTGCGGTTGATATTGCCGTCCCTGTCACGAGTGCCGTTGCCCGATATGCTTGGACATCTCGATGGCGATTGTCATGATTCGCCCAAGGCAGGTCATCGGTCAAGCAAATACCTCAAGGTGAAGTACCTAAGTTGGTAGTGGGCACATACAACGTTCATTTGACAGTCGCAACCCGAGGCTGGAGCACCTTTTTTGATACAAGATCAACGAAGCCGGGAGGGAGGGACCATAGTGATGGCTTCCACCACCAACTGCCTTTGGAATCACAAGTAGACAGGTAGGTGTGAGGGTGAGTTATGATCAGGGAGAGCCTGTCGGTCCGGGTTGCGGGGGTTCTCCTCTCTGTTGCTTCCTGCCTCTCCTCGAATGGTGCTTTTGGCGGTACCTTGCTGCACACGGGAAGGGGCCTGTCAGTCCACAGCCAGCAGCATCCTTTTTGCTCCCTCCTCCATCCCATCTTGCCAGCCGGGTCTCCACCCATGGATCCGGTCTCTTCCTGTTCCATCCTCACATTCTTGACAGGGTAGATGCACCTTTGCGCAAGGCGGGGCTCTCTGGTCTGTCCATTCCGCACCAGCACTACCTTGAGACTAACAAGCACCAAGAACCAGGCACTAACCAAGCATCAAGCAAAGCACCGAATCCAACAAACGACCCGACAAATCAAGCTCGTAGACCTCGATCATGGCTTCGGAACTTGGCAACCGAGCATTGATTACACATTTCCAGACTTCACTAGATGCGACCCGTGGCCATCTCGCCAGGCTCGTCCATCGCCCACCGCCCACATTTTCCAGGCACCTACCTGCTTCAGTATCTGCCGTTACTACTGTCCCTCACTCGCCGCCTGAGCTCAGCTCCAGGGATCAAGGAGAGCCACTGCAACCAACCAACCAGCCTGGAACCAGTCGCAGCCGGGCTTCGAGGCCTCAAGACCCAGTACCGGTACCGGTACCAGAGCTAAAGCGCTAGGTACCTCGACCCGAGCAAGACCGTCTCCACCCCTACCTTACCAACACAGTAAGGTACCAGGTGAGGTACCTTAGCTCGTCTCCGCCCCTTTGCTGAGGGTGCCTCATGCTGTGCCTAAGGTTGTCCCGTCTTCCAACTTCCAGTGCCTGTCCGGTGCTGTCCACCTCCTCTGCATGTCCTCCAAGTCCCTAGTTCCTAACCCCCCCTACCTACCTAGCCCCCCCCCCCCCCGGCCCCAGTCCCTGGTCTCCAAGTGAGTCCCGTCCCACGTCTTGGGCTCCAAATTCCATCCAGACTCAGCGTTCGCTCTCCCCCCCCAGCCTACGCTCCAACCTATCCTCCTTTTGTACCACCCCGCCGCCTGCCAGACCTGACCTGCTAGCCTATCTATCTACCTTACCTACCTACCTCGTCTGCTCGCCGACCTGTTCGCCGTCTTTGCCCTTCCACCACAAAAACCACTTCTGCGACAATCTCTCAATCGCGACTCATCTCCAACTCTGTCGCTCGCCTCCACACTTCTCATCGACTGGCGCAGACAAGAGAAGAGACGAGACAACCTGACCTGCGCTGCTTTCCCCCCTCGCCCTTGAGTTGCCGTCCGCAAACCCCCTCGTCCTCCCTCCACTGACTCGGGCCTCTCGCCGGTCAACTCGGTTTTGTCCTTCTGCCCATCATGGCGGGAAAAATGGTCCTCTACAAGCTGGTGGTCCTGGGAGACGGTGGTGTGGGCAAGACGGCCCTGACCATCCAGCTCTGCTTGCAGCATTTTGTCGAAACTGTAAGCGCTCAATTCCTCTCTTTTTCGTCCTCTGACGGCAACTCCAACTCGTTCCCTCACCCTCGCCCTCGCCCCCCCCCTCAAATCCCCACCAGTGCGTCGCTGACCCGCCTCGCTCCTGCTTAGTATGACCCCACGATTGAGGATTCCTACCGGAAGCAGGTCGTCATCGACACCCAAGCATGCATGCTCGAAGTCCTCGACACTGCCGGCCAGGAAGAATATACCGCCCTCCGAGATCAGTGGATCCGAGATGGCGAAGGTTTCGTTCTCGTCTACAGCATTTCGTCACGATCCTCCTTCTCCCGCATCAAGAGGTTCCACCACCAGATCCAGCGGGTAAAGGAGTCCTGCGCCTCTTCACCCTCTTATCCTGGTTCACCCATATCGGCCGTTCACTCCCAAGCGCCTGTACCCATCATGCTCGTCGGCAACAAGAGCGACAGGGTCACGGAGCGCGAGGTGTCCACCCAAGAAGGACATGCACTGGCTCGTGAGCTGGGCTGTGAATTCGTCGAGGCCTCCGCCAAGAACTGTATCAATGTCGAAAAAGCCTTTTACGATGTCGTCAGAATCCTCCGCCGCCAGCGCCAGGCAGCTTCCCGACCACAGCCCAACGGACGCAGCTCGACGCGCGCGCACAACTCCAGCTCGCAAGACTACAACACGAAGGAGAAGAACGACGGCAGTCGAGGAAAGGGCGACAAGAAGAAGATCAAGTGCGTCATTTTATAAAGGCTTGATGCCTCGAACGTGCGATTCTCACGATGCGATTTTATTCATCACGATTTTATGATGCCCCATAGAGCGTTCGGCCTTTCATCCAACTGGCCGGTATTTTCATGACGCACGAGAACCAATCCTCTTATCCTCCGCAAAGATTTGTTCTGCCACTCGCACTGGGCCACGCATGTCAACTCGAAAAGAAACAGGACGAGTTGCAGCCGAGCTGAGTCGATTTTAGTCGAATCGCCACCCCAGATCGAGTAGCTCTTCAACCGGCGAATGGCGCACACACAAACACACCAAGAAAGGAGTCATGTCCGTGGCGTTTCTGATTTCAATGCTTGGGCGGCGTGGGAGTTTGATTCTTTCATTCCAACACGTGGACGCCACCTGACGGAGTTCGCGGAGTCCGTGGTTTATTTTTCAAGCAAGCTGACAGACCTGTTCGCCAACGATAAAAATCTATTCTACCTCATATGCTACCAACCTGTCTCATACACATCCTTGCGCAAACCATGCCACATCTCAATTCGGAGACTTTCTTCTTGGATCCCTGGGCAGGACTAGGGTTCTTCGGGCAGGGAGGGGGGACGGGAAAGAGGGGAAAGCAAAAGGAGTAGGATAGTGGTGGAAGTAGCGGTCGTCAGTCGATTCACCCAGATGGGGGAAACGCATCTCCGCCGCCAGGAACAGGAACAACCTCGCCGCGGCACAAGCCACGCCGTACAAGGGCGAGACTCATATATCAGCATTTCCAGGGTGGGATGTGTATCTAACTATGTCTTCCGGCACTGGCCACTCTTTCGTGCATGGCCCGTCTCCGATTCTACGTTTCAACAAGTACCTACTGCTTCCCCAAGTATCTATCTAATCGCTGTCTCGCTCATCTCGCTCCGTCTTACCCCGGACTTCACACCCCCTCGACCGTTCGACCGAGAACAAAGGCAAGGCCAAGTTTGATGATAGTGCCGATGCGCCGATCGCTCGTTCCTCAACAAGATGGGGTGCCTAAAGAGTCTTGAGCAGGCTCTACGTGTGTCAACGGGACGGATTGTCGGGGCTCTCTGCCTAACAACGTTGACCATCAGTGGGCGGTCCAGGCGGCAGGTTTTCAATTGACGCCTCGTGCACCACACAGCGTGTGCGGAAACACAACTGGTGGCTCGGAACCGAAACACAGACGACAGATCCCATATTGCCAGGGGTGGGGGACCAGGGGCGGACTTGTGAATATGCTGTGTGCCCCATCAACTGACTCAATTGCTCCGAGATGCCAACCAGGGCAACCTCACAAGGCATCAGGGCTGCCCTTTTGTGCCCCTCACCCCTTGGCCCCCTCCCCCTTCCAGCCGGCGACGTGGTAGAGAGGAGGAGGTTGGGACTCGCGAAGGGTGGAAGCATTAGAGGGTATTTGGCACTATCGAGGCTGGGGCGGTGCTTGACGCTACTTGGCTTTCGGGGTGCTCCATTTTGCTTTTCCGCCAACGGCTGCCACTCCTCCTCCTCCTCCTCCTCTACCAAGCTTGCTGTGGGTTTGGGCATGTACAAGTACCGAGCGTGAGGGCCCCCGACGCCGGTTTAGGCCAGGTCGATGGCTTTCCTTAGGCCTTGGTCCTTCTCCCTGGTTGGCGACCAGCGATATCGTGCGACCGCCGTACGGACCCGTTGAGGCTGGCAGCCGCGCACCAAGGGAGGACGGGGGGGGGGTGCAAACGCGAGTTTTAGGCCCAGAGGAAGAACGAAGTCTAAACCATCTCATGTCGATCTTGACATGAAAACAGCAATCGTCTCCGGCGCCTCGCGTGGCACGAGGTGCGGCTCGGGGGGACGATACAGCGTGGATATCTGGTTGTCGGGCTCGGCGGTCGGTGGCAAGGCTGAGCGAGAGCCCGTAACCACGGCCGTGGGAGGCAAGCGCTGCAGTATTATGCTTCTTCTCGCGCCTGAGAGTTTCCGAACCGCCCCATTCAGACGAGCGAGTCATCAGATATGCGGCCGGGTTTGCAGCACAGCGCTGCACGGAGACGAGCCATGACCTACAGTACCTGACCTGAGGTAGCTGCCACTGCACCTGTCTTTGGCCTCAAGACTAGGTAGGCTATTATCAGAGGCGTCTGTGCACTGTCTTTTTATGGAGACGAGGAACTTGGGTGGATGGTCAACCGGCGTCTTTTGCTCCTCCACTACTAACATCGTGATTGCTTGCAACGACGCTACGGAGCCAACCTTGTCCCATGTTGGAGTGCCGTCGAAACCTCATTTCACTGCCTGCAGTCTGTGGCAGTCACGTCTCCTGGTGAGGGGCTCAGAGGCTCCGAGACATTGCGACCGTCCCGAAAGAAAGGACGTGCCCCCCCGGCCTAGTCGATTCGCAGCTCTCTCAGCCGAGGCTGGAGTGTTTGAGTTTGCATGATGCCAATGGGGAGGATGATGAGGACGGATGAGCCTCCGGTCTCCCGGTTTAGCTTCTGTAGACAGCCCACGTCTATCCTACCTTACCTAGGTACCTTGGGCAGCTATCACCCTCAGGACTCCTTAGGAGAACATGGACACGTCCGCCGACGAACGATGAAAGGAACCCCCTCTGAAAAAAAAAACCGAAAAAAAACCAAAAAAAACCTGATGAAGATCCGCTCCTGTCTGATGCAACCCTTTCGGATTTTCGGACCCCTTCTGATATCTGACAGCGCGGGGTCCAACTCCCAACACACCAGACCAAGACTGACTAGGTATCTAGCTAGGTACCTTAGGATTTTGGTGTCTTCCTTCCTCGCTTTGGGCAGGTGCGAGGGACTACTTCAGGCACTTGCTAGCTGCATGGCAAAGGCGCCTGTGTTCGGCACCTTGTGTGCTGTGGAGGTCGTCTCGCGCCATAGCTGCCTACCAGGTATCTATCTGTCAACTCTCTCCCCCGCCCCCCACGGCCTGGTGTCAACGCTTCTCTAGTCGTCTTCCATGCCGCTCATCACATCCTTCCATCACGTTCCCCACCTTAGCTGCATCTCCCTTCTCGCTTCGTCGTTATCGTCTTTCCCAAAGGACGCGAGGCAGGCCGCCTCTTCGTCTCTCGAAGGCGAGCACGTACAGAATTCCTGGGACGCGCACGTACCGAGCGGAGGAGGCGGATCGTTCCTTCACCTGGCGCCCTCGAGACGAAGATTCCACGGCCCTTCTCCCGTTTCCATGCATGATCAACATGTTTCGCTGGCAATTGAATCTCCGCGCTTTTCCTAGCGTCATCGCTTCCGGTGCTCGCAGTGTCGATCATCAGTCACCGAGCGTGGTTCTCCAACTTTCACCGAGATGATCCTCTACGTACGAACCAAGGCAGGATCCGATCAGAGCATGCTGTCTTGCCCTTTCTATCCTTTAAACCAACCCCCCACGTGCCCGGGATGTGACCAGAAGCCCGACCCAGACGCAGAAACGGCGGTGGGCGGGGGGGGGGGACCATACCAAGGTGAGGGGCGGGCCATGACTTGGACCTTTGGGGGAGAACTCCTCAGGGTCCCCTTGTCTCAGCTGGCTGCGTAATGCTTTTGTGCTTTTTGATAGAGGCTTCAGCACCAAGACAGTGGCTTTGGATGTCTGGCGTGGGGGTGAGTGGTTCGGTTCTGCAGCGGCTGCTTTGCTGGCTCTCCTCGTCGTTCCGTCATGGTTGATGACACCCTGCTCAAGGCTTGTTGGGGGCGATGGGACAGGGGCGGGAAGGGAAGGGGAGGCGAGGCAAGACGAAGGGGGGGGGGGAGAGAAAAGACTCCAAATGTCATCAGTGGCAGCAAGGGTCGGGGAAGACATCCTGAGGAGCTTCCCTTGTCGGCAGACCACGCAAGCACACCACAACCACAACCACGTAGGCGAGCCCACCCGTTGATAGGACGGACCGTCTTTGTGTCGACAGAGTCCGACAGAGTCGAACCCCCGGGCCCCTGCTTCATCCATAAAGACGTTCCAGCAGCAGGCACGACAAACACCCAAGACGCACACTCCGGCTGTCTGTCCCTCACTGTCGCCCCCTATATGTGAGGCCTGTTCTTGGTCAAGCGCGGACCGGGAGCGCGACGAACGCCAAGACTACGGGAGCTGCCACCAGCCTTATGCCTCGTGGGTCTCGTCTCTGAGAGGGGCAGTGGGGGGGATGAGGGGACTAATGTTACCACAGGACAACGGAGCTTGCCATCGTAGCTTTCACCAGTGAAGCTTTCAAGTACAAAGTTGCGATTCAGGTCGGCCTGTTCCCTCCCTGCAGGCCGAGCCGACCGGCATGTCGAAACACTCGTCCCCCTCCCTCACCCCCAAAAAGCCAGAGGACGGCAAGTCTAACATCCTTTTGAGAGGGTTACAGCGACCGAGCAACCACGAGGCGGCCTGCGTCGTGGACCATGTCAAGTCGCATTCGATGGAAAACCACAAGGTGCCTTGTTGCAAGGCGGCTGGCTGGCTTACTTTCAGTCGTCCCCATGCCGCGTTTGCGGAAGTGATAGCTACCTAGCTAGGTACCTGAGCATGCAACGCACGCGGATACCAAAAGGAAAGAGAAACGACGCTGTCCCTGCCCTGTCCCCCTCTCGCCCCTTCTTTCCCCGCCATGTAACACACGCCGTAAACCCGGCCCCAGGCATTCCGCCCACGACGAACAAGCTCGCGACGGCCAATCTATCGGACCCGGAAAGGAAACCAACGGACAGACATCCCTACTGGTGATGCAAACCCCTGGTCCTGGCCTCCATTCCTCCCACGAGAACCGACGGACGCCACTTGCAAGAAGGACGCCGGGCACGCAACCCCCCCTCAATTTCAAGTTGTAGCATACATGTACACGATGCCGCGAGACGCAGCGGCGCGGCCTGCGGAAGCCCCCCGCCGGCCGGTCCGGACGATCAGACGAGGCCTTCCCCGCGCTAGGTGTTGCGAGGTGAAAGGCCTCGTACTCTCTCGCTTGACGTAACGCATGCATTCGGTATGGGCCTCCTCGACGAGAGCGGACAGCTCCGCATGCAATATTGCCATGTTGTGTGACATGCTGGCTGCAAGCTCAACGAAGCCTGGGCATTCTGGCAGTGCATGGCATGGCTTCGCAGGCCGCGACCAAGTCAAGATTAATGGAGCCAACGTCTCGTCATGGAATCAAGGTATCGCGGGGGAAGAGGTAGAGGCTTCGACTCGAGCTCATCCTGTGTGGGCAAGGGAGGGTCGGGTTTCCGCATACTAGTCGGGCGGGACACAGGCATGGACAGGGTATCCAGTGTTGACACGAGTAATCATGAATTGTTAGTCTTGGGTCATGCTTCATATTCAAGAGTAGAAGACAAGACGTTTAGCACGTGCCATTGCGTGCCCCTTTCCTTGGGTAATGACAAAAGAAGATCCGATGACGCCGTAGGTTCCCGATCCAAACGGGTTCCATATCCCATCCAAAACCCCAATAATTCCTGCACAATACAGGCTCGAAGATTCGCTCCCAACAAGAGTCCCCGAAATTCAAATCACCGATGAAAATGGCGGAAGACGGCAAGTCTTCTCGTAGCCATGCCCGTTGAACATACGGCGGTGTATCATAGTTTGCTAGACGTTGAACCAAGTGAAACTCCACGATTCTAGTCCCTTGTCGCGTGCTCGTCGCCGAATGGGCTGGTGCCGCGCTCGTGACGCTCCTGGACGCTCTGGCGTTTCGATTTCCTGTCGGGTCCTTGCGCCGCCCGCTTCGTCGCCTCTTCGATCACGGCACTCAGGCTCGTGGTGCTCTGGCGAGTAGCAATGCTTGGGGGATCGGAAAAGGGACCTTGATCAACGGAAGGGCTCTCGTCAATAACGGTGACGGCGTTGGAGTCACGGATAGAAGTTGAGCTTGAGGCTGTCCGGCCGGCAGTCACGGACGATTCGTCGTCCGTTCTGGAGCCAACGCTGACCTGCTTTACCTGGTTACCGCTTCCAAGACGGATGACTTGGGCGCGGCCCTGAGTAGCCGTCGTGGTGCTCGCATTGTTGAGGAATGTCGAGCCAACGCTGAATGTGCTGTCCCTAGGCTTGGCAGCATCGAACTTGCCGTAGTCAATGCTCGGGACGGGAGGTGTGACCTCGCCGCCGGCCGAGCCACCCATGGATTTGACGCTGACCATGGCAGCCTTTGCCCTCATACCAGTCTGCGCTGGGGCCACGACGACGGCGTTCTTGCCGTAGATGGTTGAAGCAATGCTTGGAGCAATGCTGGAGCGAGGGGCGTAAGAGGTGCGAGCGTAGGACATGCGATCGCTATCCCCAGACAGACCAGAGTACGTAGAATCCCGTAGATCGCCGGGCACAAAGAAGTGCTGGTCCTCGTAGCTGGGACTGTTGGAGGCGAGGCTTGAGGCGTGCATGGGGATGGGCGGGACCGGGGGTACGAGCAGAGTTGGCGAAGTCGGTGTAGCGCGATTTGTAACACCGGGGATGTAGGCGATCTGGATGATGTTGGAGGCGCGTGTGAGAACCGTCGAAGCGATCGAGTGGACCGTGTGGACTGATGAGCGCTTGTCGCGACGCGCACCAAATTCCTTCTCGGCTTCGACTCTGTGGTCGGGCTCATCTTCGTAGGACTCCTGTGCGATCTGGTGCTGACGTCGAGGCTTGATACAGAATCTCCAGACTAGATAGGTCACGACGGCGATGGCAATGACGCCACCCACGACACCTCCCGCAATAGCGCCCGTATTGGGTTTCTTGTCGCTCTTGCTTTCGGGAGCGACTGTTGCGTCCTTGCGGCATACAGCTTTGGCGCACGAATTGCATGTTGGAACAGTGAAGGTGCAGACTTCGCCCGACGAGCATGCGACACCTTGACATGTTAGGCCGCTATTCTCACACTCGATGCAGCCTGCCTGCCTGGGTGCAAGAAGAGCTACGAAGAACATGTTAGCAAGACAGTAAAACGACAAGGGAGATGTTATCGCTGGCGATTGTGGTTTAACTAAGCAACGTACCAGAGGAGAGCTCCTCGAGAGAACGAAAGTAGAGGTTTGAGTTGGATGCAGCCATGACTGCGACAATCCTGGGGTGATGCAGCTCTGGGTAACCCGATGTGGTATCAGGGCTTGGATCGTCGTGATGGGGACGAACGGTTGAAGATTGTCGATCGCCAGATGGCTGAAGAGTGTCGATCGCGAGACAGTCGAGGGTCCGAGTCCGATAGCCAAGAGTGCGCGGTCGATTGTCGAACGGCGACCGCGACGTTCGGCGGTAGCTACAGAGAAGTCTGAAAAAGCGACGTCGTGAGACGGAGGATGCGAAAAGATGAAACGAATGAAATACGAGACTATGCTCTGAATAGGTGTATGGAATGGTGGTGAGGCGTTCCTCACGAGGGGTTGGAATGGAAGCCGGACGAGGGAATTCGCGGTGCGTAACGAGTGGATGGTGAGACTAGCTCGAGGGGATGGGTTGGCGTAAGGGTCGGTCGGGATGTACGTGGTTTGCGACCACGACTATGCGATGGAATAAGAGAATGAAAATAGCATCAGAGGGCTGAACCTCGGGTGACTGGAGGAGTGATTGACGGCGGGATCCAGATTCAAAGTGTTGTCGGTCTCAGATGTTGTTCGAGATGCTTGATGACAGCGACGGGACCTGATGGTGTCGTGTAAAGGGAGAAGGCAAGGAGATGAGAGACAGACGAACAGACAAGGCAATGAAGGAGTCGAATCTGGGGAGGGGCCTGGCCAGACGCAGTTGGGCTGTTGAACAAAAGCCAAGGGCAGGAGGCAAGGGGGGGTAGGGAGTGGAGGGGGAAGTCACCATGCAAAGGACCAACAGGCGACTGGACCTGGGCCCGTCGTGTCCGGTATTGCTCTATAGCCCCTGTCAACGGTGGCATTAGGCGATTACGGTGGTGCATTGGCGGGCAACCTACAGGTGTCAGTCCGCTGGAAAGAGTCGCTCAAGAACGCCTGAGGACGCCTTTACCCCCCGCTAGAGGACCTGCCTCGAGATTGGGCTCCGCAAGGGGCTGCGTTTTAGCGAAACGCAGCACATTCAACTTTCCACGTTGATTGGTCTAACCTGGTCTGGTGGCACCGTCTCTTACTCTCGTCCCCACTCATCATTGGCCAAACCTCCTGGCCTGCTCCCCATCCTTCTCCACCAACTCCTGTCCGCCTGCCCACCTGGGACACACCTGCTGTAGGACCGCGGGAAGGTGATGCTCCCGCACTCAAGTGTTCTCCGTTCCTCGACGGACTTTGAGAGGTCAGACCGACCGAGACCAGCCTGGAAGACATGCCGCTCCCTCCCTTTCGGGGACGGATCGTGAGCGTGCACTCGCTTTGGTCTTCTAGACGAGAACAGTCGCGGTTCTCTCCTCTGGGAGACCGATGGGAATTCAATCGGAGGCCGACCCCTTGGTGCTCATCTTTGTGTCAGTTCGTCTTTACCAAGATCGTAGTATTCTTTGCGCGACCCAAAAGAGACTCGGGAGTCTAGACCCGTCCATGTTGTGTGCTCTGTTGATCGTCTCCACGCCAGAGACAACCGTTGGATCCATGGCGGGGTTTTCAAACACGCGGACACAAGGGTCCAATTACCATGGCAAGACGTGAACATCATAACCCTTTGGAGGGTTTACTGACCATAGGGGCTGCAGAACCTTCAACTTCACCAAGTTTTGAGCGGTCGATGATCGCCCACACCACATTATCACCGATGACTCTTGGAGTGCCATAGGTGCCCCCGTCTGGACCCGACCGTGCCGTACATCTTAGCCACATGCAGAATGCGAACACTGAAGAGACACTGAGGAAGGAGACAGGCACCGCTTTGTCATGTGGGCATGCCGCCGCTTGACAGCCGAGGCCACGACTGTTCTTCCCCGGGCAAACCAGTGGTAACAAGTCGACCCCCGTATCTTCCTTCCGCCCGCACGATTGCCGCGACACGTAATCTGAAAATGGAGCATGTGGCAGCTTGACTGCTGCAGCGCCTGGCTCGAGACGGCAGCTGTCGGACGACGTTCGATCTTGTAGAGTGTCCCTGTCAATCTGGTGACAGAAGACTGACAGTGCTACAAAGGAAACCCACGATTTGTGCAGGATTGGTGACAGTTGTCAATGTCCCAACGATATACGGGAGCGGAAAGGGTCACAATGCATCGCAGAGAGTTCTATGGGTATGTGCCCCTATAATGCTGAACATAGAAAAGTAGGCTCAAAATGTAGGGAGAGCTTATGGTCGATCCATCTATGCGTCAGGCTTTTGGCTTTGCCCCCTGAAAGGCTTAAGCATGCTCGGTGACGACCTCGTGGTAAAAGCCGCGATGGGAGGCTTGGAGCAGACCATGGGCGAAGGTTTTCGTGGCTGAGATGCGAGCAAAGGGGAGTCTCACGTGCACCGCCTCCTCTCTTTCACAGTCAGACAATGCCAGTCCATTGAGGTGTATTTTTTGGTGAGGCGAGGCGATGATCAGCCCCTATCTCATCTTGCTATTTTTGGACCAGGCACGAGTCGCGATTGACCTGTTTCTTGCAGGCAAACACGAGCCATGCCAGAGCTCGTATTCCGAGCCACCGCGTATCGCTACCTATTGCTACCGTGGCCAACATCTGCATTTCCTGTTGATGTTTTGATGACGGAGGATATCGGGCCTTCGCGTCTTGATTTTGCAAACGATATGAGATGCATCTCTTGCCCGCATTGCTGGTCGATGAAACGTAGACAAGCAATGGGACAAGAGGACCAAAGGACGACTGAAGCCTGTAGAGGCCGCCCAAGACTGACTAGCGCCACAAGAGGGTGTTTCAGCATGCCGCTCTGGCGCTGGAGGAACCCCGAAGCCAGGCCTGGCGGGCAGTACTTCGCCCTGGTAATTGCTGGCACAGCATTCAGGAGGCTCCACTAACATGGCACAGTGTCTGTTCATCTGGGAAAGGGGGTTGGGCAGGCAGGTACTTGCGATCGTCGCGGAGACTGGATTGGTGATGACTTACTCGCCCCTACTGTCTGTGTGTGGATCGCAGTGGACAGGGCGCAGTGTGCACAAGTACTGTGGGCGCTGTATATGTGTGGACTGTACCTCACCTCACCTCAGAACACTACCTACTTATTGGCAGAGGACCTCGTAGCTGAACCTGGAATTCCCCAGCTGCAGGAATGCTTGCTTGCTGCGGTGCCAACGCCAATAGCGACTGGACCCTTCGGTTACTTGCGTCAGGTGGAAGGCAGGTATTCGTAGAACTTGCATCATCGCTCACGCCGACTTCTAAATCATCCCGATGCCAGCCACTTCGTCCAATGCAACGCTGGGCGGGCCGTCGATGAAAAAAAAAAAATCCACTCCCAGCACGACAGGGCTTGGAAGACAAGGCAGAAAAGCACGGTGGATGCATCGCACCAGCATGGAGCGCGGGAGGCGATCTTCGCTCTTCGCTGTCCGCCGGGCTCGCATGCAAGGGCCACCCGAGGGCCGGGGCGTGACGTAGTGCCTCCTGAGTCCCGCTTTTTTCTTTTCTGGGCAGTGGATGCCGTGGTTGAGGTGGTTCCGGGGGGAGAAGCAGGTCTGTGTCGCGTATGTACTGTGGTGTACCCGCCGCTTGCCGCCGCCGCGATGACGGGGATGCAGTGCCGGTACTGGGCTGCAAGTACCTTCGTCTCTGGGCCGTCTAGGCATCGTGTACCATGTGCAGGTTTTTCACGAGGCGGCATGGCGGGATTGAGGGCAATGGGGAGTGGGCTCGGGCTGTTCTGGTGGAATTTTTTCGTACTCGTGCCCAAGGCAACGGAGCAACCGAAGCAGTTGATGAGAGGCCGAAAAAAGAGCATGATGCAAGCTCAGCCACAGCTGGAGCTGATGGACGGCTCAGATGTCACTCACAGTTGAATTTACCTTGCCTGCCTGGCCTGTTAGGTACCATTTCCCACCGGGACGACCCAGGCTAGCCCGGTTCTTGCAGGTGCAGTGCCCATCAGCGTCAGCAGTCCGCCAGTCACCAAGCACCAACGCAACGCCATCATCCCAGATTCACACCATCTTCCCCGTAGACCCTCTTTTAGCTGTTGTCTCGTCCACGTCCTACCCAGATCGCACAAAGCCTCCTGTTCCCCCTTTCTCCCCTACACCCTGAAAACTGTACCAAACATCACTCATTCCCACCTTTCCCTTTGGTGGTGAGCCCTGCACTTGTTGTATCTTCATTACACCACTTTTTCTCATCAGGGGCCAGCTGTCACTCCTTGACAACTTCTGCACATCCTGTCGCCCTACGAGATTCTAGCACGAAATACCACTGGGCTCTGATACTGCTGCGTCGGCATTGAACCTGGACGCGGAGATACACAATTTGACATTGCTGTTGCGACTCTATCTTCACAGCGTCTCCTCACCTCCACATCGGCCGTCTGAGGTTACAATACACCTCCTCGAACCTTAATAACAATGGCTTACCGCGGCGGCGGGCCTAACGACTACGAAGGTCACGATTTGCAGGACCTTCCACCCGGGAGCGGCAACGGCAGCAGGGTAAGCTTCCATCATGCCCCTTCCCAACTTTTTCCAGACGTACTCGTCAATCAACGTAATGACTGACATGCACGTTGCACACAGTATCACTTGCCTCCTCAGGACGAAGGTGTTGATGATGTTGGCCAATCCCTCCTCCGCGACCCTCATGCCCGCGGCACTTCCCCCTACGAACACCATCTCGGTGCCCAAGAACCACCAGCCCGTCCGGTCTCGGCCTACAGCTTGACAGAATCGTACGCTCCAGGTGCTGGCTCGCGAACTCCTGCCCCTCCCCCCGACAATTTTGGCGTTGGCACGGGCTACAGCCAAGAGCTTGACCCTCAGAACGGTGGCTTCGGCTATGGCCGGCCCGCCTCGACCGTTGATACGGACGAGAGCTGGGTCCGCCGTCAGCAGCCTGGTGCCCAGACCGGCGGTCTCAAACGCTACGCAACCAGGAAGATCAAGCTTCAGCAGGGTTCCGTCCTCAGCATTGACTATCCCGTTCCCAGTGCTATCAAGAATGCCGTGCAGCCAAAATACCGCGATGTCGAGGGCGGCAGCGAGGAGTTCATGAAGATGCGCTACACTGCCGCGACCTGTGATCCTAACGACTTCACACTGAAGAACGGTTACGATCTGCGGCCCCGCATGTACAACCGACACACCGAGGTCCTCATCGCTATCACGTACTACAATGAAGACAAAAACCTGCTGTCTAGAACGCTGCATGGTGTGATGCAGAACATTCGAGACATTGTCAACCTGAAAAAGTCAACATTCTGGAATAAGGGTGGCCCTGCCTGGCAGAAGATTGTCGTCTGTCTTGTTTTCGACGGTATCGAGAAGGCTGACAAGAATGTTCTCGATGTGCTTGCCACGGTCGGTATCTACCAAGACGGAGTCGTCAAGAAGGACGTTGACGGCAAGGAGACCATCGCGCATATCTTTGAGTACACCAGTCAGCTCTCGGTTACTCCGAACCAGCAGCTCATCCGCCCCGTCGACGATGGCCCCTCGACTCTTCCCCCGGTCCAGTTCATCTTCTGTCTCAAGGGCAAGAACAGCAAGAAGATCAACTCGCACAGATGGCTCTTCAATGCCTTTGGTCGCATTCTGAACCCTGAGATCTGCATCCTGCTCGATGCCGGTACTAAGCCCAGTCCGCGTTCGCTTCTCGCGCTGTGGGAGGGATTCTACAACGACAAAGATCTTGGCGGTGCCTGTGGTGAGATTCACGCTATGTTGGGCAAGGGCGGCAAGAAGCTGCTGAACCCTCTGGTTGCCGTCCAGAACTTTGAGTACAAGATTTCCAACATTCTGGACAAGCCTCTCGAGAGCTCTTTCGGCTACGTTTCTGTCTTGCCTGGTGCGTTCTCTGCCTATCGTTTCCGAGCCATTATGGGTCGGCCCTTGGAGCAGTATTTCCACGGCGATCACACTCTGTCCAAGATTCTTGGAAAGAAGGGCATCGACGGCATGAACATTTTCAAGAAGAACATGTTCTTGGCTGAGGATCGAATTCTCTGCTTCGAGCTCGTCGCCAAGGCAGGCCAGAAATGGCATTTGAGCTACATCAAGGCTGCCAAGGGCGAGACCGACGTTCCCGAGGGCGCCGCTGAATTCATCAGCCAGCGTCGTCGTTGGCTCAACGGTTCATTCGCCGCCTCTCTTTACTCCCTGATGCACTTTGGGCGTATGTACAAGAGCGGTCACAACCTCATCCGCATGTTCTTCTTCCACATCCAGCTCATCTACAACATCCTGAACGTAATCTTCACCTGGTTCAGTTTGGCCTCGTATTACCTGACCACGTCTATCATCATGAACCTTGTCGGCACACCGACGGAGGCGTCTACAGACTCAGCGGCACACACTGCCTGGCCCTTCGGCGACAGCGCAACGCCCATCATCAACTCTATTCTCCAATATCTTTACCTGGCTTTCCTCGTTATCCAGTTTGTTCTGGCTCTGGGTAACCGTCCCAAGGGTTCCAAGTTTACCTACATTGCATCATTCGTTGTCTTCGGTTTCATCCAGACCTACATCCTGGTGCTTTCGGGATACCTTGTTGCCAGAGCCTTCAACACTCCTATTGGCGATCAAATCAGTCTCGAGTCCGGTAAGGCTTTTGTCGACAGTTTCTTCGGAGGCGACAACGCGGCTGGTGTTATTCTTGTCGCCCTTGTCACGATTTACGGCCTCAACTTTATTGCCTCGTTCATGTACCTCGACCCCTGGCATATGTTCCACTCGTTCCCCTATTACCTGGTTCTGATGTCGACGTACATCAACATTCTCATGGTGTACGCATTCAACAACTGGCATGACGTGTCTTGGGGTACCAAGGGATCAGACAAGGCCGAGGCTCTGCCTTCTGCTCACATCAGCAAGGGTGAGAAGGGCGAGGAGGCAGTTGTTGAGGAAATCGACAAGCCGCAGGAGGATATCGACAGCCAATTTGAGCAGACTGTGCGCCGTGCCCTTGAGCCTTTCAAGGAGGTCGAGGAGGTTGAAAAGCGGGATGTCGAGGACTCTTACAAGTCTTTCCGTACCGGTTTGGTCGTTTCTTGGCTCTTCTCCAACGCGGCTCTCATTGTCTTCATCACTACTGACGACTTCAACGCTTTTGGTTTCTCCGTAAGTGCTTCAATCTCTTGTCTCGCTATGCTGAGCTAACACGAGTTCTAGAACGACCCCAATGGACGTTCCGCGGCCTTCTTCTCCTTCCTGCTGTACTCCACGGCTGTGCTGGCGCTGGTTCGTTTCACCGGTTTCCTCTGGTTCTTGGGCAAGACCGGCATCATGTGCTGCATTGCCAGGCGGTAAGCTGGGTCTTACTCGCCAAAGCACAAGCACAGGCTCGCCCTTGTGGCAGCTCTGTACCTTACGATTATGGATTCTCAAGGAAAGTTTGTACAAGCTGTGTGGTTCACTAGAAGGACTCGGCGGCGTTTTTTGTGTTGTACCAAAGTGGTTTTACAGTAATAAGGCACAAAACTATTCCCAATCTTTCGCCGCCACCCAAAAAGGCTACGTGTAGGATCTCCGGGGTATCATACCTTTGTTACAGTACATGAAGATCAAAATTCACGTCTTGATTCGATATCCATCATGTGCAGTGACTGTTGCTTGGAATCGTACTACCTTACTAGCTTGCCTACCTTAGTGTATGTACCTTCGGAAGATCTTCGGATGATTTGACAATGTCTTTGACTCCTGGCTTATCGTTGATAAGGCAGGGATGGATGGCATCACTGAAACCCCCCCCCCCACCAGTTAGGCGGATAGTGGCAAGCGTCAGGCGTTCATCCGCTCAATACAACAACCAAACCCCTTTGACGACGACGAAACACAACTGCGCGCTGCCACAGACCTGCAAGCTCCCCTACAGACTGCAAACCACTCTGGCCAGCCGTGCATCTGCTGGTGGTCCCGTCCCTCCCGTCATCTCCATCTTCGCGAGCCGCTTTCAAATAGAGGGGTTGCCTTGGCCAGGTCCACGGCCCGCGCAGTCGCCATGTTGAAGATTTGGTCCATGGTATGTTGCCGCGCTCCAGGCAAGGCTACTTCGCAGACTGACGTCTCTGGACGCGCTTATAGAAAAAAGAGCAGCAAAAAGCTGAGAATGCGGAGAACGCAGCAGCAGGCGGCAAGAAGAAGAAGGTGACGGCAGCGCAACTACGCGTGCAAAAGGGTTTGTGGCTCCCCTCCCCCCACGACCCCGATCGCCACGACCTGACATGTCGCTAACTTGCTGCTTGCGCCCAGATCTGTCGGAGCTCTCCCTGGGCAAGACGATGAAGACAGACTTCCCCGACCCGGACGACATTCTGCACTTTACGCTGACGATCGAGCCGGACGAGGGCATGTACCGATCAGGCGTGTTCAACTTCACATTCGACATCAACCAAAACTTTCCGCACGATCCCCCAAAGGTGCGGTGTAAGGAGAAGATTTACCACCCGAACATCGATCTCGAGGGCAAGGTGTGCCTGAACATTCTGCGTGAGGACTGGAAGCCTGTGTTGAACTTGAACGCCGTCATCGTCGGCCTGCAGGTGCGTTCCTGGAAACATACCCCCTCTTTGTGGCTCCGCAGCGAGTAGTCGGCTTACCTTTTTGATCGGCAGTTCCTCTTCCTCGAACCGAACGCCTCGGATCCCCTCAACAAGGAGGCTGCAGAGGATCTTCGATCGAACCGCGATGGCTTCAAGCGCAATGTTCGCGCCTCGATGGGCGGCGGCTCCGTTAAAGGCATAAGCTACGACCGGGTGCTGAAATGAGGGCGAATTGGAAGAAGAAGTCTGAGGCGGCGAGATAGAAGCATAGTGACTGTTGCAGCGGGATCGAAATGTCGACTGACCCGCCGGTTGACCTACAGGTGGTCCCCGGCTGGGTGCAGAGGAGCATTCCAGACGAGAAGCATTCCCAGCGGGTAAAGGTGGGCGCGGCGAACAAGGACATAGGCAGAAGCATGCAGCATTACATGGCGTTTTCACATTCTGCGGGCAGACGAGACTGGTGTCTGGGTCTCTGACTGTGGTGATGCGCGTTTGGACCTAACATGGAGAAGTCACACTCGATTTGACCGGGCCAGGCCACGGTGGACATGAGCAGCCAGGCGCAGCACGCGGCGACCGGAGCACGACCGGGCTAGTGACTCACTGACGACAGCCTCGCCTCCGATGATCGTGGCCTCCGGTCGGCTTCCGTTGCTTCTCCAGGATCGGAGGCACAGCTACCTACCCCTGACCACCGGTCCCCGGCGTGGCCCCGACATCGTGTCACTGGCTGGCAGCGATTTGTGTACGGTGGATGACTCCCCAGTGTGTAGCTCCATTGAAACGCTCCAGCACCGGAGGGGAAACCGGCGAGCCGACAGTCTGTGGGATGGGCCCTGGGGCCCTGAAATCGGGGCGTCGAGCAGGCATTCAGGGCACACTCCACGAGCGGATCTCAGGGCACCGGCCAGCCAGGGCACTCACTCCACACCGACAAGTCAGTCAGCAGTCAGACTTGCAGCGACCGGATGGTAGCGTCTACCCCTCGTCAGGCCCAGACCCCTGCGGCGCCTCAAGTCGCCACTACCAATCACGAGCTTTCCGGGGCGGTGCTCCACATCACAGCTCATCCCTCCAACAACGGTTCGCCGCAAGCAGGAGCAGCCCAGAGGTGCAGCGCCGAAGTCGGTGAGCTCTGACACTCTCTGCTCCAATAAAAAATTTCCCCATTGAATTGACCTTGGTCATCGGTCAACTCCCTCCGAACACTTAAACTTGACTCTCAAACCCATTCCATTACCATCTTCCCTCCATCTCCCTCCTCGTCCGATTCCCCCAATCTCCCCTCAATCACACATCAGTCACAATGGCTTCCCGCAGCTTCTCCAAGGCCCTGCGCCCCATGGCGCGTCAATTGACCGCCACCGGCACCCAGCAGCGCACCTTCGTCGCCGCCAGGAGCTTGGTGCGAGCTTCCGCTCAGGTCACCAAGGCCTTTGCCGGCCCCGTCCAGCAGCAGGCTCGCGGTGTCAAGACCGTCGACTTTGCCGGTCACAAGGAGGACGTCTACGAGCGTGCCGACTGGCCCCAGGAGAAGCTCCTTGTACGTTTTCCGCCCCTTCCCATCCACCTCACCTCACCTTGGTGCGCGGCTGTGACGGGACTTTACCGCCCGGTCCACCATGAGCGACTTTAGGGACATGTGACTAACAATTGCCCAAAGGACTACTTCAAGGACGACACCCTCGCCCTCATCGGCTACGGCTCGCAGGGTCACGGCCAGGGCCTCAACCTCCGTGACAACGGCCTCAACGTCATCATCGGCGTTCGCAAGAACGGCCAGTCCTGGAAGGACGCCCAGCAGGATGGCTGGGTCCCCGGCAAGAACCTGTTTGATGTTGATGAGGCCATCAGCCGTGGTACCATCATCATGAACCTCCTCTCCGACGCCGCTCAGAGCGAGACCTGGCCCGCCATCAAGCCCCAGCTCGTCAAGGGAAAGGTATGCCCCCTGTCATGAGAACAACACCTGTCTCTCAAGCTTTCTTCAGCGCGAGTCATGTGGCTAACCTTATATTCTAGACCCTCTACTTCTCCCACGGCTTCTCCCCCGTCTTCAAGAAGGAGACCAAGGTCGACGTCCCCACCGACATTGATGTCATCCTCGTCGCCCCCAAGGGCTCCGGCCGCACCGTCCGCTCCCTCTTCCGTGAGGGCCGCGGCATCAACTCCTCCTTCGCCGTGTTCCAGGACGTCACTGGCAAGGCCCGCGAGAAGGCCCAGGCCCTCGGTGTCGCCATCGGCTCCGGCTACCTGTACGAGACGACCTTTGAGAAGGAGGTCATCTCTGACCTGTACGGTGAGCGTGGCTGCCTGATGGGCGGCATCCACGGCATGTTCCTCGCTCAGTACGAGGTCCTCCGTGAGCGCGGCCACAGCCCCAGCGAGGCCTTCAACGAGACCGTCGAGGAGGCCACCCAGTCCCTGTACCCCCTGATCGGTGCCAACGGCATGGACTGGATGTACGAGGCCTGCTCCACCACCGCCCGCCGCGGTGCCATCGACTGGAGCCCCAAGTTCAAGGACGCCCTGAAGCCCGTCTTCAACGACCTGTACAACGCTGTCGAGGACGGCACCGAGACGAGGCGTTCGCTCGAGTACAACGGCCAGAAGGACTACAGGCAGAAGTTCGAGGCTGAGATGGAAGAGATCCGCAACCTCGAGATCTGGCGCGCCGGCAAGGCTGTCCGCAGCCTGCGTCCCGAGAACCAGAAGTAAAGCAGTGCGTCATGATTGGCCCGCGGGGCAGCGCGGGGAAGGGCCTGTCAGAAGTGTTTCATTGCTTGGGAACTTGGGCTTTTTATGTGGGGGGATCGTGTACTCTATGCTGTGCGCTCGGCGGCTTTTCTGGGAATCTGGGCTTCCCCAAAAGTTTGATATCCGTTGAGCTCGCTCAATCTATGCTTTTCGCGTCACCAACCCTTTATTTTTTCATCATTTGTCTTTTTGTCCGTCCCTTGAATGATCAGCGCGTGATGTCGCACCGTAGCTCATGTGGGTTGGTGCCGTGGCACCATGTACCAATGAGGCGGCTGCTCAATGTCTTTGTGTGCGTGATGTCTGTGAAGTCGGCCTGGGCATTTTGGCCGACGGCCGAAATCGCTGCGGCCCTGTTGCTCTCGCCCTGCAGGCCCATGTCCCAGATGCATGCTCCCTTGGTTTTTTTTTTCGAACCCACCGCTCACCCCCATGCACGAACGAATATTAGCAAATGACGCGGGTTCCAAGCTGGTGGTTGTGGGTTTGTGGGAGGGGGGTCCGGCACGTGCCGCCAGCTGTCGATGTGAGTCCTGTCCCTTGGCTATCTCCCGGCAGTTGCTTGTGATCTTGCTGAAGGAGGACCGTTTCCTTATGCCTGGGAGCGGGATTTAATGGCGCACACCTTTGTCATATCTCACAGTCGTACGCTACTCTGGGATTATCATGTACACGGTCAAACCTAATGTCCATCGGTTCGGTGGTGTAGTTGGTTTATCACGTCAGTCTAACATCTGTTCCGCAGAGTTCACTGAAGGTCGGGAGTTCGAGCCTCCCCTGAATCACTTTTTGAGTTTTATTGCCATTCATGCGTGGTGCTCGAACCATGGTCAGCCGTCAGCCACCCTGGTTGGTTGCCCCTATCCTGTGCTGCGACGCTTTTCTTTTTGTTTTCCCCCTCGCTCTCTGCAGCAGGGTGCTGCTGTGGGGCAAATGACGGAGGGACGGGGTGACCCAGACGTGGCCAGTCGCCAGTGGCAGTGCCTGCGGTACCTGCATCGTGTGCGGATGCGGTTACTGGGTCAACGGCCCTTACATGCCCGCCGATGCGCTGGGAGGTGCTGTTTTCTGCCACGGGCCACTGACATGGGCTGGCCACGGGCCTGTTCAGGGCACTCCAGTCGCTGGAGGGACGGCACGGGGGGGCGGGCCACCTCGCTGGGGGCTGGTAGAGGTAGACGGACAGGCACCTACCTAGGTAGGTGAGGTAGGTACCTAGGGAGGTAAAGTACCGTACCTTAGGTAGGTACCTAAGGTGCCTTGCCTTGCCTTGCCTTGCATTGCCTTATGGAACAGATAATTCAGTTCGTATTCTATTTCGAACAACATCAACAGAGCCATTTCCTTCTTCATTCATCCTTTGGCATATGCTTCCATTCTTGAAAACACACTCCAACACACGGCGTCCTGCATCACCCTCTGCCTTGTACCGACCACCATGGCATCGCCGCTGTCCCCAGCGAAACCCTCATCCCTGAACATCGCTACACCGCCCACAACCCGTCGCTACGACCAGTCACGGTACGAGGTTCAGGCCTACACGGAGCAATCCACCACGACTGCCACCACAACCACAACCGCAGCCCCCTCTACATCCTCCCCCAGCGGCATCGACATCGACGCCTCCAGCTCGAGCACTCGTCACGCCACGGCTGCCGTCGAAGACAGCCCCCTGCAGCAAAAGCAGCAGCACAAGCAGCAGCTCAAGTTTGGGAAGGAGAACAACATGTCACCTCCCAAGCAGCGCCATTCGCGCATCATGTCTGGGAACGAACTCTCCCCCCTCAAAATCCTCACCACGGGCGAGCCGAACCCCGAGCGCCAGTTCTCCCCAGCCCGCGGCTCCCGCAAGAGCCTCATGTCCCCCGACAAGCGGTTCCCCGTACGGGTCAGCAACCCCATCAGCGAGACAGCCGACAAGAGCCCAAGTGATGCCGCCGGCGAACGCCCAGACATGCGGGAGCGCACCATGAGCCTCGATGACGCCCTGCGAAGCAACAAGGGTCTCAGCCACGCCATTGACATTTTTGAGGATGACACCGTCGACGACTTTGGTCGGGCGCACGACACGTCGCCCGACGCGACCGACCGCCTCGACAGGGACGACCACGGCGACGACACGGAAGTCCATCACGAGGTGACCTACGACGACTCGGTTGGCCCTGACGATACCATGACGAGCACCTTCAGTGCCTTTTCCGCCGTGCCCAACCTGACGACCTTTGCGCGGCTGGGCAACAGCCCGCCAAAGACAAACGGCCTAGACGACGGCATGACCCCCCGGGGTCGCCCTGGCCCCTCGCCCGCGAGATCACAACGCCCCATGTCCTACCACCCAGACTCGTCCGGCAACACGACAAACCTCCTCATGGACTTTACCGAACACCAGCGCCATCCCGGCAAGTCGCCCGGGAAGAGATTCACGACCGGCACCGGTTCTGCCGTCCCCGCCACTCCGGCGCGGCAGATGGGCAACCTGCTCGACTTTGACATTCCCCCGCTACCCACGCCGCGCAGCATCCCGACCATCACGCCGCGCGAGCTCGAGAGCCTCAAGTCGAGCTTCCTCTCGGAGATCAGCAGCCTCAAAGCGTCCCTCAGCGGCAAGGAGGCGGAAGCCCTTGCCCTCAAGACGGCGGTCGGCGACGCCGAGAAGCGTGTCGGCGAGTGCATGGAGAAGGTACGCGAGATGTCGTCCGAAAAGGAGCACCTGACCGCCGAGAAGGAGGGCTGGGAGAAACGGAGCCGCGAGATGGAGACGGTGCTGCGCAGCGTCAAGGAAGAGATTGTCCGCAGCCAACGCGAGACGGAAGAGCTGGAATACAAGCTGTCGGAGAGCGAGGCGCGCCGTGAGGCGGCTGAGAACATGGCCCAGGAGGCCGAGAGCAAGCTCGCCGGCATGCGCGCCGGCAGGGCGTCGGAGGACAGTGCCAGATCCGACAAGAGCAGGAGCCCCGGCGCCAAGGACGCCTCGAAAGAGGTCGAAATGGCCGTCGAGCGCGTGGCCCGTGAGCTGCACGCTCTGTACAAGAGCAAGCACGAGACCAAGGTGACGGCGCTGAAGAAGAGCTACGAGGGTCGCTGGGAGAAGAGGGTCCGCGACCTCGAGACCAGGCTCGAGGATGTGAGCGAGGAGAACGAGCGCCTGCGCCTCGGACGGGATGCGACCATGACGCGCGTTGATCCTGCCGAGCAGGCAGCCGAGGAGGAGCGCAAGGCGCAGGCAGTCCGTGACGCCGCGCAGATCCGGCACCTCGGCGCCGAGGTCGACAAGCTCGAGGCCATGATGCACACGATCCGCGACGACAATGGCGAGCTGCGGACTCTGCTGGAGCAGGAGCGCGTCGAAAAGGGCGAGCTCGTGCAGCTGGCCGAGGAGATGATGTCGATGCAGAGCTTCGTCGCCGCGGAGAAGCAAAAGACCCAGCCCAAACCTCAGGAGCCCGCCCCCCGGCCCGACCGCACGCCGGTGCGCACGCCTGCCAAGGCCAGGACGCCGGGGCCGGCCGTCAGGATGCCGCAGCCCGACGGCTTCCGCAGCAGCGTCACGCGTGCGTCCGGTCTCAAGGCGCCCGGCAGCTCCATCGTCATGCCTGGCAGGAGCGCTGGCGCGGCGAACCACGAGCGGACAAGGAGTGGCACAGCAGGCCTGCCCAGACCAGGGAGTGGGTTCGGCGCACGCAGCGGTATCATGAGCTCGATCGAAAAGATGGGCAACTATCGTGGACGCGCCGAGTAAGGGGTCACGGAGAAAGAGAGAGAGAGAGGTGAACATGAGCGGGGGAGGAAAGGATGATGGTCATGTCTGGATGAAGTCTTACGATGCACGGGGTCAGGTACGGCCGACGCATTGATGTCCGGGACTGTTTTGGTTGTTTCGAGTCAAGGGAAGGGAAAAAGCCGCCTCCCCCTCAGACACATCTATCTCATGGTCCGGGATGGCTCCCTGAACGGGCGTTTCGGCGTGTGGGCGGTATCTTTTGTTTTGCCTCTCTTTTCTTACGTTTGCATAGGATGACGGGGTGTGTGTGTGTGTGGTTTAATGAGATCAGACGAGCGCACGAATGGCGAATATGAACAAGATGCAGGTTTGGTTGGATCATGAAAGGGGGAGGAGGGGGGTTTAGGGTTTGGGAATCCTGTATTCATCTCCCCGTCATGGAACCGTTGAGGGTATCGACGTCTTCGTAAACAAAAACTTGGCCCGACTTTTGACTTGCGCCCCTCTGCGACTGGCCCTCGCTTCGTGTCCTTCATGCGTAGTGCGTAGCGGGGCGTTCCTATCTATGCGCAAGACACACATTGTATGTCCATCTCTTTTTGGCGCTTCCTTTCTCTGCCCCGTCGTGTTTGAGGGCGTCACTCATGAATGCCCCAAGAAGAAGCCCATGCAGTTCGCCGCTCGCGAGAAAAACAAAACAGTTCATCATGAAATAGGGTCGGCTGCGGCGCCGTCACTCCAGCGGCAGCCTCTCATGCTTGAACGGCTTCTTGCCGTCGCCCTCGCCGTAGGCCAGGGAGACCTGGCCCTGGCCGCGCAGCTTGTACTTGTAGATCATGAGGCCCTCGAGGCCGACGGGCCCGCGGGCGTGGATCTTGTTGGTGCTGATGCCGACCTCGGTGCCGAAACCGTAGCGCATGCCGTCGGCCATGCGCGTCGACGCGTTCCAGTAGCAGCCGGCCGAGTCGACGGCGGCCATGAAGCGCTCGGCGGCGTCGGCGTCGGCGGTCAGGATGAGGTCCGTGTGCTTGGACGAGTGGGCGTGGATGTGGGCGACGGCGGCGTCCTGGTCGGGCACCGTCTTGACGGCGAGGTCGAGGGAGAGGAACTCGGTGCGGTAGTCGTCGGGCTGGACGTCGACGAGCTGGGCCGCGGGGACGGCGTCTGCGTCGTCGGCGGCGGCGAGGGCGCGGACGGCGGCCTGGGCGGCGGCGTCGAGGTGCAGGGTGACGCCGGCCGCGAGCAGGGCGCGGGCGGCGGCGGCAAAGGGCCCGTCGGGCTGCTGCAGGGCGGACTCTTGCACGAGCAGCGTCTCGAGGGCGTTGCAGGCGGCGGGGTAGCTCGTCTTGGAGTCGACGAGGACGTTGGCGGCGAGCGTGGGGTCGGCGTCGGCGGCGAGGTAGGCGGCGCAGAGGCCGTCGGCGTGGCCGAGGACGGGGATGCGCGTCGTGTTCTTGATGGTGCGGACGAGTTCGTTGGAGCCGCGGGGGATGACGAGGTCGATGAGGTGGTCGAGGGCCAGGAGCTCGGGGATGACGTCGCGCGTCGTGACGAGCTGGACGGCCTGGTTGGGCACACGGGTGCCGTCGAGGGCCTTGGCGATGACGGTGGCCACGGCGACGAAGGACCGCGTCGACTCCTTGCCGCCCTTGAGGATGGCGGCGTTGCCGGACTTGATGGCGAGGGAGGCAATGTTGGCGATGACCTCGGGCCGGGCCTCGAAAATGATGAGAAGGACGCCAATGGGGCAGGTGACGCGGTCGAGGGTCAGGCCGTCGTCGAGGCGGGTGCGCAGAGTGAGACGGCCGATGGGGTCTTCGAGGTCACGCACATCGAGGATGCCCTTGAGCATGTCCTCAAACTTGCCCTTGCGGCCGAGATCCAACCGGGACACGAGACTCTGGCTCAAGGTGCCATCGGCGGCTGCCTTCCGGGCGAGCTCTACGTCTTCGGCATTGGCCTTCAGAATGTCTTCTTTGGAGGCGGCAAGAGCATCGTGGATGGCTGTGAGAGCGTCGTTGCGGGCTGATGTGGGGAGGGTCGCCAGAACGTGGGAGGCCAACTTGGCCGATTGGGCGCAGTCAGCGGGCGATGCGTTGGTCAGAGACATTGCGAATAGGGTTTGGCAACTCGTCGAGGGGTATCGTGAGCTGGATTCGCGTGGTGTTTGCTCTTTCCTTTCGTCCCGATCCTGCTCCGTGAGTCAAGTTCAAGGTGGGATGAGGCATTATGTCAGCCAAGACTTGAGCCACCCCCGCTGTGCCACACACCATCGGATCGCGGTGAGGTGAGGCTGAAACGACCACCCGATGCGACCAGAAGCTCCTTCTTTCCTCGTCCTCGTCCTCGTCCTGGCCCAGCCTGGCGCTGCTGCCTCTGCGCTGCTGCCTCTGCGCTGCTGCCTCTGCGCAAACCGCGGCCCCTCCCCTCATCGCCTCCGTGAGCCTAGGCCCTCCATCCGTCATCTCCTTGATGGACCTACCTATCCACGACTGGCTTGCTCACCCTCCTTTCTCTCCCCGCCTCTTTCAAAATCACCTCGGCATCTTTATTAACCCCTTGTCGGGCGTATCAGATCCCACGCGAAACTAGGCCGGCGAATCCACACGATGCCGCCCGACACCGGATCCGCCACACCACCCCCCCTCCCCTTCTCTCTCCAGTGCTTCGCGAACAGAGCACGCCAGATAACCTGGCAGCATGGGGCCTCCACCCCCCTCGAATCGGTGCCGAACTTCCGAAATTCCGGCGCTGATGGCCTGTTGTTCTTCGATCTTGTCCACTGGAATCCTGCTTGGACTAGCCCCCGCGCTCCAGGATGCATACACCCACCCTGCCGCACCCTACAACCCTACTGAACCACCCACGGCGCCCAAAGCACCAACCCGAGTCGCCTCGAGCAGTGAGGACCAGGCCCCCGTCGCCGTTTCCACCGGCAATACCGTAGCATGTCCGCTGAGTGCGGTCGGCTTCCCGTGTAGGGGCTAGCTCCGCCGATGTCGAAGCCGATGCTTTGTGGGGGACGGATGCATCTCCCATTTCTTAAGGCTGGGGTGCTGCACTGCCTTTTTATTCTCCCCTTCCTTTGGCCTCTGCGTCGTTGTTTTGTCCAAGGTGCCCTTAGCAAGCCATTGTTCTGACAGTGACGCCCGTTGGTCCCATTACTAGGGGCTCGTCATCGCGTGCGCATTAACCTTAAACTGCCTTCCATGTCGCCGGCGGATACCACTGCAACGGTAGCTGGCCGCAAGAATGACGGCCTCCGGAGCCGACGAGAAACACCCCGCCGAGTCGCCCAAAACCGCCAGACATGATCAAAACGCAGCCCAGCAGCGACACTCGGTCGACAGCCTATCCATCCACAGCCAGGCCTCGCATGGCAGTCAGCATGGCGAAAAGGCATCACGTCGAGCATCGGAAGAACCAGATGTGTATGGGGCCGACACTGAACAGCCTGGAGCCAGGGTGACATCGCCCATTCGAGACAGGTCGCGCGCCGCCTCAACTCGCTCACGCCCCATCTCTGTCGTGCCGGCCTCGAGGCGTAGAGGCTTCCTCGGCCGGCTCACGCTGATTCCCGAGCTGGAGCGACCACAAGAGTATTCGAACAAGACAAAATGGTGCATCACTGCCGTGGTCGCTCTGGCAGGCAGCGCTAGCCCGCTCGGCTCGGCCATTTTCTACCGTATGTCCTTCCCGCAAAGTTAGTTTCCTGCCACCACGTCGACTCGCTTACACGAGATAGCTGCCCTGCCGCAGATGGCTATCGACCTCAACACGAGCACGACAAAGGTCAACTTGTCAGTCTCCCTCTACATGCTGGCTATGGCCATATTCCCCCTCTGGTGGTCGTCATTTTCCGAGGTCATGGGCAGGCGCAACATTTTGCTCGTCTCTTTTGCCCTGTTTGTCGTCTTTTCCGTCTTGAGCGCCATCAGCACCAATGTCGACATGCTCGTCGTCATGCGATTCTTCGGCGGCGGTGCAAGCGCCAGCGTGCAAGCCGTCGGCGCTGGAACCATTGCCGATATCTGGGAGCCTCGCGAACGAGGACGTGCCATGAGTACATTCTACTTGGGGCCATTGGTTGGGCCGGTAAGCGCTACCTCTCCACAAGTGCATAGCAATAGCTGACAGGACAGCTCCTCGGACCCATCCTGGGTGGCGTCCTGTCCGAGGCCTTCGGCTGGCAATCGACCATGTGGTTCCTGACCATATACGGCGCAATCGTCCTGGTCTGCCTCTTTTTTTGCTTGCCCGAGACCCTTCCAAGGCGCAAGCCTGTCGTTCCTCCGGCTGCTGTTCGGGAGACGGCTGGTGGCAGCAACAGTCCTGCGCTATCCCGCACACGGACGACCGAGTCGATCAAGCAAAACACCAAGAAGGCAACGGCACTGTTCAGGAAGCTCATCGTCGACCCTTTATCCGTGCTCACGTATCTGCGCTTCCCGGCCGTCGCCATCACAGTCTACTACGCCGCCATCACGTTCGGCTCGCTCTTTGCCCTCAACATCTCCGTCCAGGCGGCATACTCGACTGATCCCTACAACTTCAACCAGTCCATTCTCGGTCTGCTCTACATTGCCAATGGCGCCGGCTACATTATGAGTTCTCTGCTCGGCGGCCGCTGGCTCGACCACATCATGACGCGCCAAGCGCAAAAGGCTGGTCGCTACGACACGGACGGTAAACTCATCCTCCTTCCCGAGGACAGGATGCGAGAGAACATGTGGATCGCCGGCACGGTCTATCCCGCCAGTCTGCTGCTCTACGGCTGGACGATCCAGCACGGCGTCTTTTGGTTCCTTCCCCTCATCTTTCTCTTCACATTTGGCGCCGCCTCCATGCTGGTGTTGTAAGTTTCCATCCAGTCCCCGCCTCTAGGTCACGTCACGCCGTCATGGCTAACCTAACGTTCCTCGCAGCGCCGCCGCCACGACCATGCTGACCGAGTTTATGCCAAAGCGCAGCTCCGGCGGCGTCGCCGTGAACAACTTTGTGCGCAACATCTTCTCGTGCGTCGGCGCCTTGGCCGCGCAGCCCGTCATTGACGGCATTGGCCACGGCTGGCTTCTGACGATCCTGGGCGTCTTCACGTGGGTGACGGGGTATTTCTGCATCTGGATCTTGAGGAAGAAAGCGCCCGTGTGGAGGATCAGCATGGACAAGGCGTTGAATTCATAGCGTTATGCCTGGATTGTTTGCACAGACGGCTCGAGTCGAGAGACATTATGAGAAATGAATTTGACAGATGAGATTGAATGGCTGTATCTATGCAAGGTGAATCATGATGCCAATGAATGATCCGATGACGTGCCATGTTGCTGATGGCGCCTCATTCGGATGTACGCGATGCCAAGCCCGTCGGAACCTGGGGCACGGAGATGCGTCAAGAAGCGGCCGACATGAACATCAATGTTGCCGGCGGAAGACGACCGTCTCCCGTGTCCTATTGACATGGTCCATGTGCGCCGGCTGGATCCATAGACTTGCCATGGCGGAAGGGGGGGGCGGGGGGGAGAGGTCCCCTCTCATGTCACTCTCAACAAGCAATACATGATCATAACAACCCTGAGCCATCCCTCAGAACGCCGGCCGAGGCGCACGCGCTGCGCCGGGCGTCACTCCGATCTATGCTTGCTTGTCTTGGTTCTGGTACGGACCCTCTACTTGAATACACATCGGATTCACCAGGCTGGGGACGGTGGACAACAGGAACACACAACCCCTCCCCCTCCCCTTTCGTCCTCTTTCCATCATGCTACCCAGTCCAGATCAGACCTCAATGGTACGCCGCGTTGCGTGCCGTGCTGGCGTAGGATACTCCTCAGAGTGAAAGACGGGGAATTCTCAAGCCTACTGCTTCATCATGATGTTCGTATGCACATGGAGTGAAGACTGTGTCCTGCCTTTTCACAGTCCTTGGCTTTTCAGAGTCTAAAGTATCTGGATACTAGGTGCTGAGGCTGAGCCAGTGGTTAATGCTGCGGGCGATCAATCACACGCCCACAACGCGGCAATTTTCTCCTGTCAAATGCGCTTTATCATCGAGTAGAGACTCCTGACGCCAGTTCTAAGCAAGTCATGTCTAGCTGTCCCGCGGCTTGGGAATGTCGTCAACAACATCCTGCAAGGACACAAAGGCGCCAGCCCCCCCATTCTCCCGCAAATCATCAAGCAGCACACTTGTTTGCGCGTATACTTCCTCCAGTGCCGAACGAGACGACTTGCCCAGCGAGACTGCAAGTAGTGCTTGTTAGCATGGGGATGATAAGTGAGAAGGACGGTATAGACTTACGAAGAATCGCGGAGTTGAGTTCTTCCGCAACCGCGACCCGCCCTTTCTTATCGAGCAAGTGAGCCACCTCCTTCTCTTTCAGAGGATTTGTGTACGCCAACAGCGCGTAGATGTCGCCTAACGCCTTCGTCACCTCTCTCCGGGGATCATTCACGTATTCCGCCTGCAGAGCCTGGCCATATTGTAAAGTTTCAAGCTCGAGACGCTCGAGAATGCCCGTCTTGCCAGCCCCATCGTCCATATCGTGATCATAAGCTCCATTCTCGGCGCCGTTGGCATCAAGATCCATCTCCTGGTGGGGGAAATTGGAAGCTGCATGTCCGTTCGACTTCTTGCCTTCTGCTGCTGTTCTCAACTCTGCCGCCGAACGGACCATTTCGATAAACTTTCGACATCGCAGCCTGAAGTATACCTGCTCGTTGTCCTTGAGAACATCGCGATAGCAGGCATCGGTATGCTTGAGCGCCTTGTCAATATCTCCTTCCAAGACAGCTCTCCTGATGTCTGTGGATTGATTAGCAGCGACCATAGCAACGTGTGTCATGGTGAGCCCATACGTTGCCTCTTTGTAGCGTGTTCGTCGTCCTTGACGTTGATGTCGCCTATGACTGCGTTGGGATCCAGACTGAGGGCCTTTTTTTCGCCTTGTATCTCCTGGGCGAAGGCTCTCGCCGACTCAACGTAGCCATCGTGTTGGAGGAACTGCAGGACCAGTGCTTGGATCATGTCTGTTTCCTTCATGTTGTGCGCAAGACTCGACGTGCTTGTCCTTGCTATTTCTTTTCGTACATGAAGCTTCTCTTTCTGTGTATCCTTGTCAGCGACGAATAAGCGTGAGGTGCGGGGCCTGTCATGACCTACCGCCATCATGTTGTCGATGTCATATGTGAATGGTGACTGCCCGAAATTGACCCGAACGTGCTCGCCCGTCTTCTTGAGCCCAACTGATGGATAGAGATTCCCCTTAATGTCCTTAAACACGTGCCCGAGCATGTGGCCGTTTTTGGTGTAAAACGCCGACCCTGTCCGAAAATTGACACCACATCCGATAACATCGTTGGTCGTAAACAGAGGACCGTACGACTTTCCCCCGCTGTGGGCGGCATAACAGTGGCCATCGTCGCCGTGGTAGCCCCAAGATTCGGGCTCCCAGCCTGGGGGCCTGGAGAGGGCCACAGACTTGCCAGAAAACCCAATGCCAACCATGGTGTCGTCGCGCTTGCCTGATAGGATGGTGACCTCATAGTAGTAGATACCGCACTGCGGTGGCATGTAGTGGTCTGCTCGTATGCTGTATGCTTCGTGTTCTCGCTCGCGCTCGCTCTGGCCTCGTGGTCCGCTATATCTGATCTCAAGACCGTCGGCGAGCACCTCGAGCGCGCCGTACTTATCGTCCTTGTTCCACTTGGTCGGCAGTGACGACACGGCATCATCTTCTTCAGACGGCGGCGGTGGCTTCTCGACAACGTCGTATGCCAGGCCTCGATGTGACGGGGACTTGCTGTGTAGTGTAATGGCACTTGGACTCGCTGGTGAGGAAGCCTGGTTCTGCGAATCTCTCTGGGCTTGAAGCTTCAAGCGGTGCTGCTCCTGCAACCTCTGCACAAATGTTGATCCGGCAAGGTATGACGGGACGAAGAAGGCCTTGCCGTCTGCCGAAGCCGAGTCGTTGGAGGGATCCTGGCTCGCCATGTACAGATTGAAGGCTTTGGAGAAGGACGGCAGCTGAGAACTGTGTCGCCACGGCCTCGCCGCGTGTCCTGCGCCGTTTGTGTCCGCCTCCATCCCGTCTCTTGCCGTGCCGATGTTATAGCTTGACGTGGTATCGAAGGCCGCGTCGTCGGGTGCGTTGAGGAGGTGTGAAATGACCGAGGTGCGCCCCGGATGGGTTAGAAACGAAGGTGTCGAGTCGTTGGGGCCTGTTGAAACGACCGAGGCGTAGGAAAAGCGACGAGGCAAGAGTCCCGAGCTGGAAGCAGGTGTGTCCGAATCTTGAAAGCCCTGGGAACCTTGTTGGTAGGGGTTCGTCATAGTGAGGGGTCGTCAATAGCCGGGCAAGGGCGATGCAGCCAGCGACCGCGACGTTAACCGGAGGGCCGGCGGCAAGACTTCGGATGCCTCCTCGGACCAAGAACCGGAATCGAAGAGTAAGTGTTCAGTCAAAGGAGGAACACCTGGTTGGTAACAGGACAAGCTCCCGTCCTGCGATCCAAGGGGGACGAGGTCGTTTGGTCGGTAGATAAGAGTTGGGGGCTTCGGTGTTGTCAACGGATAGGCCGTGTCGTCACGTCGGAGCTAGATGGCTGGTGTCCGTCCAGTACTCGTTTCGGGTGGAGTGAGGGTTGTACGCGTCGTCCTCAAGGTTCGATGATCAAGCCTACGTCCTGGAGCTTGGCTAGCGTAACACACACGCCGCAAAAGCTACTGTTTGGTTTACGATGGCAGTCGTACGTTGTTGCGGGCACGAAAGAAGGTCGTCCGGAAGGTCGAGATGGGCGGAGAGTATACCTATGCACAGGTAGGTGGTACCCATGGACGTCCCGTCATGCACCTCGCTGGACAGCCCCCCCAGCCAGTGCCGATTACAGCAGGGCGTCCCATCACGCGGGTGGTCTCCTTGGGCCGTCGCATCAGCTAGGCCGGCTTGGTCGAGCGCTAAGCAGAGTCGGTCACAGCGCCCTGCACCCACAGCCCAGTACCAGGTGGCAGTGTGAGGCGAGCCACCCCGCCCATGCCAGCCCCAGCTGGCGGGTCCAACAGTGGCCGTGAACAGCAATATCGTCACTGATAATTCGTTGGGGCTGCACTCACCACGTTCGCTGCCCAAGGTCAAACTCAGAGTCGGCGACGCGGGAGTTGCCTATAATTACCCTCCAATCCACCGACGTAATGATAAGTAGAATTGCGACGCAACACATCAGCCAGAGGTTCGACAGGTAACTGTCTCTTCCTTGGGTACCTACCTAGGTAGCTCAGTTGGAAGGTATTGTGGATTCAAACCGAAGACGTTATCCGACAAGGAGCTCGCGAATCGCACACGGCTTACCTAATCTTGCTGGCCAGCCCGCAACCTCGCGTCTTCATCGCCATCAATGCGCCTGGCTAGACAGAGTCGCTGTTGGAGGCCAAGTGTCCACGCTGATGAGTCGCTGTAGGCCATTCATCCTGCCATTCAGATGCACAACGGAGGTCACTAGTCTGGTGGCCAACATTGAAGCTTCGAACAGCCCTGAATGACCACGGCATACTGTACAATGTGCATCATTGTCAACAGGGAATCGAGGCGACAACAGGATAGAGCTGCCTTTCTCAGCAACATTTCTCAAAAGGCCAAAAGTCACGCAACCGACAGGGTGATTGGGATGGCCTCAAGTCATGTGTGATTTGCGCAGTATTGGGTTTCATGTCTATTCGAAAAGATTTGATCCACAGCAAATGCTTGAACGACTGCCAACGTAATACATGTGCCTTGCCTGGCAAACGCCGAACGCCCTCGAGCAGCTCAAAAGGCCAATCATGCTCTGTTAAAAATCTCGCCCCAACGCCTGCAGAATCGCATCGCTCCATAAAGGGCCCAAGGAGCCCTGCACTTGCTGTAAATGAGAGATGAACCCTAAACCGCCTGAAAAATTCAGCGGCACGGGTCACCTGCCTGGTATTCCGACCAGGCGCCCAAACTCCACTCAACCATCTGTACATAACCTACGAGACGTCACAAAGCCACGGGCGTGGATGACATATCTTTTAAGCGGCGGGGATGGCCATCGGAGCTGGCGAGCTTGGATTGACGGCGCTGCCGGGGCCGCTGTTGGCCTCAACGCCGGCGGCGCTGTTTGCATTGCTGTTTGGCATGGCACTGTTGGCGTCGCTCTTGGGTTCGTCATTGACCTCTTTGTTCTCCTTTGAACTGCTGTCGGCAGAGGCAGCGTTGGAGTCATCTGACGGCTGGATGACAATGTGAGGCGGCGCCGTCCAGCGAGGAATCTCCCATACGACTCCTGTGAAGCTCTTCATCGTGAATCCACCCTTGGACCACTTGCGACAGGGCTTGCCGGACCTGTCGAGGGCGCGAAGGCCGGCATTGATGGCGCCCTGGTTGGCCTTGGGTCCGAGCTTGTGGCCGCCGGCACCGCCGCGACCAGTGCTATTGGGATCGATGGTACCGTCCTCCCTAGACTGTGGTCAGCTTGAACGTCGCGGATAGACGGGCGGTCATGAACAGGGATACTTACAGTCGAGCCTTCTTCTTGGGACCGGGCTTGCCCCTGACCTTGGGCAGGCCATCGGGTCCGAGGCCATTGGCGGCGCCTGCGGATCGCTTGGTTCCCTTCTTCTTCGAGCCGTCGACGGGAGGCGCCATAGTGCCTGGTGCGGGTGTTCCATTCGCAGTTGCGGCCGGCGTGGCAGGGTTTGAGTCGGACGCGTTCTCGCCGTTGACCGCGACAGTCGTGGGCTGCGTGTTGCTGGGCGCAGGCGAGGCGGCGGCGGATTCGGGCTTGCTCTCCTCTGTGGGCAAGGCGACCTTGTCCTCGGGCGAGTCCTTGACAGGCGTTTCTTCCTTGGTGGGCTGGGGGTCGAGAAGGTCCTTGAGCCTGTCGGGGGAGACTTTGAGGACGATGGTCAGGGCGCCCGTTGCGCCGTTGGACTTGCGTCGACTGACGGAGGACTTGGATGCCGGAGCCATGACGATGGATGATGTTGCGTGTGTGGGAGGGAGGGAGGGAAATGAGGCGGGCGAATGGTTGGGAGGCAGACGCGAAAGGTGCCCACGAGTTGGTGTTTTGGTGTGGTTTTGTCACCAAGGGGCGAGCCGCAATGGGTTGCGTTTGGGGTGACTGGGGATGGGGGATGGACAGGAAGGAGAATGGGACTGGGTGAATGGATGGACGGACGGAGTGGCGGTTGGGCCTGTCTTCCAGCGAGGCAGAGAGCGGAGCTGGAGCTGGAGCCGCTCGTGGTGATCTGGCCGATGGTCGCAGGGGCAGGCTGCGGGCTTTTGGTGGACGGTCGGAGAAGGGCGGCGGCGAGTCGTCAGTGATGGTGACGGTGATGGCAAAAGGCAGGGAAACAGTGATGCTGGGATGGGTGATGGGATGATGCGATGGGGAAGAGGGAGAATTTTTATTTTATGGGGGAGCCCATCTGGTAGGTTTGGCGTCTCATTTTGTCGCGAGTGCCCGGCGGCGTGACAATGAGCGGTGGTAGACTTCTCATGCTGCTGGGCTGGGCTCGCTCGAGAAATCGACCTTGTCTCTTCCTCGCGCGCCAGCACAAGGCACTGGCCTCTACAGCCGGGGACGGGCAGTCGTGGGAAGTGGGTAAGCGAGAAAGGCAAGAGCGAAGGGGAAAAGGGAAGGGGTGGATCGCCCTTGTCTGGTCACGTAACCAGACATGGTCTGTGCTCCTACCTACCAAACTCAGGTCCCTTCTCTGTGTCCACCTAAGCCACCCTCGCCTGCCCTTGGTGTCATGTCCTTGTCCCAGGCGGCAAGAAAAGGAGGAGGGAGCTCGGCGCCTAGGTTGATCCGGCCTGCTCCTTGCTTCTGCTCCCGCTTCTGCTCCCGCTTCTGCTCCCTCTTCTGCCCCTTAGGCCTCAGGCATAATTTTCCTTGTTGTCACCCAGCGAAACATCCTTCTTCCGCCCATCCCGACTCCCAAACATCCTCGGGCCATCACGACGGAGACGGGAAGCCCAGACCAACTGGCTGGCAACAGGCATCCTCCACTCGCATCCTACCCAAAGTGGCCAAGCGCTCCTGGAATCGTCTCTGGCGCCCTCATCTCCATTCATCACCACCCACCATTGGAGAAAAGGCCTTGCCCTGCCCTGTCCCGTCCCGCCAGCGTCAGCGTCAGGTCTTTCTTCTCCGAACACCACGGTCATCCCAAGCAAGGTACCTTCTGTGGCCCCGTCAACGTTAAAGCCGTGACTGGCAATGGAGGAGGGGCCAACCGGTGGATTCTCCAACGAGTCGCAGCAAATCAAGCTTCGCCCACCAGAACCTCTCATCCTGATGCACATGGAACGCCAGCTCATCTCATGACTTGCACCTCCATGGAATGTCTACCAGTCAGTGGTCCGAGTGACCATGCTCCTCCGCCATGAGAGAACCATCTTCCCAGTCTCGGCATATGTTTCGCCAGGGTTAGGCAGCCGAACAGTGTTTCTGTGGCCTCCACTTCAGTCGTGCAATATCTTGCTCTTGGAACGCCTTGGTGATGTGGTCTTTGGGCGCCCAAGTTCTATCCTCGTCTATAGAGAGCCCGCAGTCTGCGCCGAAATGTGTCAGGCTTCGCAGAGTATCTTGCTTCCTTCCGCTGACCAGGCACCCCACCACCTTCGTAGCCAGATTGACCACGTCGGCATTGCCAACCCTGGACGCCCAGGCCAAATTGTTTTTTGCCGTCGGACATGCCTAGACTCTTGTGGACACAGTCAACTCTAGATCGATTGTAAATCGATTGTCCGCTGGCCATCGCATTTTCTTCCGTCGTTGAGGAGAAGCCAATTTCCATCGGGCTGGTGATGAGGATTGGTAGGTAGCAGAGCCCCCCATCTGAGCTAATCGCTCCACAAGGCACGCTTCTTGCGTCACGCCCTGACCAGGACATCAATCGATCGTACTCAGAGGCCCCGAAAGAGAGAGAGAGAGACTGTCAGCTTTTTGTGCACGCGGCTCTCTGCATGCAGCAACTTGCGCAGCGATCGTTTTTCAACTCGTCCGTCGTGCATTCCATGGTGCTCTCGTCATATCGTGCCAACATCATGACATCCGAGATTGTTATTTTCTTCCTGTGAATCTGGACCTTCGTGAGGGCACATGGCACATGGCAAACTTGGCAGTCGTCCTTGGCTAAATTCACCAAAGGTCACATCGAGAGGGGCTATGAGACCTTGGCGAGATCTTTGGAATGTGTGACCAGCAGATACTGGCAACGGCTCCTGGAATGCGTTGCTGCGCACCACGCGACGGTCCAAGAAAGCGAATCTATAATAGGTGCTCTTCGACGAGTCCCTAACTACGCAGCCT